AGATTTATGTATAGTGTATTGAATCTCAAGGACTGTAACGCATGTTTACCTTGGAACAACCAACCACAATATTATCATTTAAAAATTACTAGATTTTTACAATTTGAAGATTATTTGTCTCACATGAATTATCTTGAAAGTTTAAATACAGCTAAGGGAACGGATTCACAACAAAAGTCTCGGAAAAAAATATTGGCGGAAGTATATAACAAGGTCATCATTTATTTTCTTAACACATTTAGTCGTTATCAAATTATAAACAATCCTAAAAAAAATACAATTTCATTATAAGATATCCAACCTGGAGATAAGCTTTAACGAAAAGACTACGTGTTGAAGGCCTCACTGTGACTTTGAGATGAAGAACATCAATAAAAGCGCTGTTCCCTTTGCTTTTTGAGTGTGTTGTTTTTTGCTATGCATGTACCGATTTTGTGTCATGAATGGATACCCCATATCCTTTGTTTTTCTATTATGATTGATATTTGTAGCTATACAAAGTCAACTAAAACTCACTTATATCAAAATAAGATACCATATCTCTTAAGGTGCCACGCGGTGTCTTAATGTACATATTATTTCTGTATCTAACAGATTATAGGGAATATCTCGAAAGTATCATTTTTTAACTTCTTTACAAAAATAATTTATAACTTATTGAAATTACCGCTCACCTGTGTATGTCAATACACAGAAATCTAAAAAGATGTCCGCTCAAATGATGCCAAATGCCATCTTATACTCGCAGTGGTAAATAGTTGCACCCCATGGTGAAAGATTTAAAATTTAAACTGTGACTCTGAGACAGCAATAAAAGCGTTGTTCCTTTGCTCTTGGTTTTTTCGTGTGCTTGGAATTATCTTACGTCATGGATATCTTTAATTCCATTACAGATGTGTCGTGTTTTGTATACTGTTGTTTGTCATTCCGTAGTGTTTTTTTTATTTAGCCGGGGTATTGTCTGTTCGTCGTCGAATTATTATATCTTTATTGTCCTTTTGTTTCATAGTTATATTCTGTCTTTGTCTAAACAAAACTCATCATAGAATGGTTGCAAGCTAGAGTGACTCAGTATCCCCTAGGAATGCAATATGGTGCCTTCATTCTTTATTTCTAAATTCTAAATTGCTAACAATTGGGAATACACAAATGAAATTAAATCTAGGTTTTGTGATTTGTAGACAATTTGTTTTCAAAACACGACTCATAATATAATTCAAAATCAACCCAATCAAGACGAATGTCATGGATAAAGTAAGTTAAAATAAACTAAACTGGCTTTGTTCCAACTGAAACGGATCTCAAAAATGAACTTTATCTACAAATGTCATATTAAGCCAGGGAATAGTATTTTGTTTTTGCAATAACAAAAAAATAATTATCCTTCATGACACAGCAGAAAATGTCCAAAGGTAAACTTAAATATACAGAAGTACCTGGTATTTTTATTTCAACACAAATATTTGAACAATCAAATTTGAATTTCAACCTGCCTTAGTGGAATATTTTTGTACATACAATTTGCTATCATCTGAAGATTATTTGCCTTGGCTTTATCAAACATAATGTTATCTTTAAATAATGAGCTCACTTTCCAATTAGAAATTAATTAGCTACCTTAAATTACCTTGAACTGTTGCATAGGGTACGGACAAAAAGTAAAAGTCTCGGGAAAAGATATTTAAGGAAGTTCAAAAAGGTCAACAGGTATAATTTACCGCATTTAGTTTTTATCGCAGGTACTGGAAAGGAAATTTAAATATTTTTAAGAAAAACCAGTTAAATCTACATCAATCACAACATTTCACCACAATTCCTGAAGATGAAGTACGATTTCCAATTAAACAACACGTCCACAGAGACCAGATGACATAGATGTTAGTAACTGTACGGCTGTCAAGAAATTAGCAAAAAACAACATTGCATAACAAGTTATAAAGGGCCTCAAAATGACAAATGTTAACTACTTCAATCGTGAAAACTAACGGCCTAAAATGTAAAATAACATAAATACCCAACTCCGCGAAAAATTAAAAACGGAAAATCCCTAATCAAATGGCAAAGTCAAAAGCTCAAACACATCAAATAAATGGTTAACAACTGTCATATAACTATATACTAAGAAAAAGAAATACAAATATAATGATAACCAACAATAAACGACTGATATGCTTATGCATAATCCAAAGTTTCTGTATACTCGTAAAATCGATAACTATTATCAACAGCACCCGGATGAAAATTCACCATGAGGTTAATATCCAAGGTCATCTTAATCTTATCAGTCGTTGCGCAGATAGCATTACTATTAATGTCAATAAAATTACATGTTTGCGTTATTCTAATATGGAATGTTGTATTAAATACGATTGAGTCCAATTAGGACCAACTACAACACTTATTGGACTTTCTTTTTTCAGTCGTAAGTAACATTTGTTATTAGGTCTTCCATCAAAAGTAAGATACAAAGTTGCAAGTATGAAAAGGGAATATTTATTTTGTCAAGCAATTACTATTCAAATTTGGTATTTTTCTTATAAGAATAATGTTATGCTTAAACAACAGTATGGTTTTCTTGAATAAAAGTAAGATACTATTTTACCGATTCAAGTATTAATCGATGATTGTCATAACTTTAAAAATCCAACTTTGCAGATATTTTTCATGGAGCTAGGATATTTTAGTATGATCAAGTATAATTATCTTCAATACAATAATAATATTACTTTGAACAAGCATTAGGCCTATTCAAGTTTTTGACTAATATTTTCCATGTGTCCATGTTTTTTGTCATACTATATTAGACATCTGTTCAACACTGTCCAAATTGCATAGATTTAAGCACCCTTAGCATCACACGGCCTTCAACAATGTTAATGACACATATAGTATAGTCAATTATGAAATGCCCCAACATGACTAATAACAAAACAATTTAAACGATAACAAACCAACGGCCAGTTTATAACAAATCAGAAAAACAAAAACAAAAATTTAAACGGACAGCTTTCTGCGACAACCACCGAAATTACAGGCTCCAACTTGGGTCAGACATATATAGAATTGCGGGTTAAACATGCTTGTAAGTGCTCAACCCCATATAACTTTGGACAATTGTGTAATAGCAACATAAGAACTTACTTAATTAATCAGTTGAAATTTGCTTGACTCATCAGATTGACACGAAGCACAAACAACAACTATTAAAGACAAAAGACACATTGTACCGACCTAAGAGTGTTTACAGGTAAAGATACAGAAATCTAGTTCAAGCCAAAAATACCTAATGACTACATCATGTTTACTTTATTTGGCCTTTTTAACTTTTTTTTATTCGAGCGTCACTGGTGAGTCTTTTGTAGACGAAACGCGCGTCTGACGCAAATACAAAATTTCAATCCTGGAATCTATGATGAGTGTATTTACAACCACAGGGTCGATGCCACTACTGGTGGAGGTTTTTATTCTCCGAGGGTATCAACAGCCCAGTAGTCAGCACTTCTATGTTGACATGAATTATCATTGATATGGTCATGATTATAGATTAACTGTTTACAAAACTTTACATTTTTGAAATACTAAGGCTTTTCTACCTCAGGAATAGATGACTTGAGCTGTATTTGGCAAACCTTTAGGAATATTTGGTTCTCAATGCACTTCAACTTCGTACTTTATTTGGTTTTTTCAACTTTTGATTCGAGCGTCACTGATGGGTCTTTTGTAGACGAAACGCGCGTCTGGCGCAAATACAAAATTTCAATCCTGGTCTCTATGATGAGTCTATTCTTAAACTAAAGTATCAACCAGTACACTTTTAAAGGATTTAGTTTAAATACGTCATAATAAGTTTGAGTAAAGCATGACATTAGGCAATGCCAGAATATAAGTACACAAAAGAATACATCTTTCGATATATTTGAATTTGAATTAATCAAAAAACATAACCAAATTTAGTATCGATAAAACTTATATATTTGAAGATTTCACTACGGTGTTAAAATTATTTCAAGGATCAATTAGTTAACATGGGTCGCATTTGAATGTATGTGCTTGTTAAAAAAATCTGTAAAAAATTAGGTCCGTTTTTTTTAAATAAGAATTGCAGGTTTAGCCAAAATCAAAAACCAAACTTTGTACATGTATCTATGACAGAATTTTGCAAAAGTCTTCAATAACATATGGTTACGAAATCCCCGAATTAATAGCTACTAATAAATGCACAAACAATAAATAAATAATGCATAGGCAACATTCATTTGAATCTAAATATTTCACAACAGACACGTGGATAGCAAAATAGTTGAAAACTATGTATACCGTCGGAAAGAACAAAAAAGACATCCACATGAAAATCGTTGTTAAACTTTTTTTGCGACAAAGTGTATATTTTGATAACTGCACTGCTGTACTGTGCTTCTATCTATATAGCAAATGTAGTCGTAGAAGGGTTGACAATTGAGCAAGTAACCACCAGGAAATTAATTAGGTTATTTATGGTTACGAAATCCCTGACTAAATTATTTACATGTTATACATGGAAAATGTTTATTGAAATCGAACACGTCACTACAGACACGTGTATAATGATTATAATGGGAAATGAAACAAACTGTTAAAAGGTACAGAAGGAACCTCACCATCTAAAAAAATTAACAAAAAGAAACATAGAATCGTCTCTTTTGTCGTGAACCTGTTTTTATCAAAGAGCATATCTTTTGACAATGATAGTATTATGCTGAACTTCTATTATGAGTATTTGTGTATACTTCGAATTTCATGTATTTGACAAAACCTTTTCCCCGAAAACTAAACGAGACAATTAATTGCCTTGATAAAGCCAATACAACTAAATGAGAAAAACTACCATGACGACACACTTTCTGTCTATATTTTGCCTTTTTTGTAGGTTACATTGAACAATGCGAGTGTCGTGTCCTTCTACTAAAAGGAAAGGTGTGTATTTAACAATAGATGAAATTAACTTCTTCAATAATCATATAATGGGTATACAACATTGTGAAGGGTATGTCTACACTTTTGGAAAGGAAGATACATAAAACACACTTAATGATTTCCCAGGTGCATTGAGTTTTTGGATTGTCAGGTGAATTGAACATACCTTATCCCTTATCAAGCAGTTGATGTAATACGCACGAAAATTATTTTATGGGGTATGCGAGATCATAAATCATTGAGGTAAACAAATGTTTAGTAACATAAGTAACATTTGTTTATTTTAAGAATAGATATTGCATGACTTTTAAAGTATTTGGTAAACTTTTAATCGATCATTGTTTTAATGATGTCATTGCTTCAACCTATTTAGAAAGAGTAACTGCGATTTTTAAATGTACCGTTCTGCTTATTTCCTGGAAAAGTCTTTGACAGAATCTTTAAATGTAAATGTTAGATTTCAAATTGGTGGATTAAGGCTTACTGTAATGTGATCCTTTATATTTCATTTAAAATGGTTGACGACTATGTCATAAGGATCATCAGAAAGAATGTTCCTTACATAGTCACTATCTGTGAAAGAAATTTCAAATCCATCAATAAAATAATCTGAATAATTTTTTGTATGACATTGATTAAATTTAAACACTTTGGTAATCTGGTTTAATATCATTATTATTCGATTTTTTAAAATACAAATTATTACACAGTAAATGATTTAATCAATAATGCGTGTACATCATGTCAGCCTGTGTTCTAATATAGTCATTACTGAAATTATATTAAAGGTGAAAGAAATAAAAAGGAAGAAGAAATTTAGTAGGATCTTATTAACATGTGAAATATATCTGGTATTGGTTATTTTGATAAGTAATTTACACACACAAAAAATTAGAAATAAACACACGTCACAGTCACTGATTTGGCATACTATTTATGTAAGTTGAGATATCCACATGTACCAAGTTCAAATGCACATTATTCCATATCAGTCGTATCGCTAATTCAAAAATGGAAATAAATCTCATATGCTGGTCATTAAAATTATCATGTTTGATACTTGTGCCAAAAAAAACCGAACACCATCTACATATAAAAATCTATGCAGATATTCCTAGATCCAAGCTATAGCTACTAGTAACATTAGGTAAAAAACATTGTCCAAAACTTCATAACCTGTCAGTAATTATAGGCGACCGTACGGTCTTCAGCAAACCCACATCGTATAGTCGCATTTAAAAGGCCCCGACATAAAAAATGTGAAACAATTCAACTGAGAAAGCTATCGGCTATATTTTGAACAAAACAATTTAGAAAAACAAATACGACGGGCATGAAGCAACGACAACGACTGAACTACAAGCTCATAAGATGAGACATTCACATCAATAATATGACAGGGTTAAACATGTTTCAATGCGACACCCATCCCCACCCCGACCTATGAAAGTGGTGAAACAGTACAACATAAGAACAAACTGTAAACATCAGTTGAAAAGGCTTAAGTCATCGATACAAAGCAGAAAAACTGTAACAAAAGCACTTCCAGGCATTTTGGAAAATTCCGGGCACTTTGTCTGCACGCGGAACAATTTAATCTCTTCTAATGACTCACATCTTATTAGTGTAAAATCAAGTACATATGAAAATGCCAAAAATCCGACCACATGAAACAAAATGAAGCAACCATTGTCACTTAAAAGCAAAGTATATAATATCAAGAACAAAGTCAAGTTTTAATGTTTATGTATACATTATTGTAGGAAATATGAAATATAATCTCTGTCCAGAACACTTTAATTCAATCAATTCTATTAAACTGACACCATTAGGATGCTTGAATTTATTGACAACATATGCTTTTGCATTTTTGTAAAATTCGCTTTTCAACGGACAATCATACGCCAGACGTAGGACTTGCCTAGAGTAGCTTTAAAAATTTCTATCATAATGTCGTGAAGAAACCATTTTCTTACCATGATTGCATAATTCAATGAGCTTTGAAATGTGCTGTAATATAATATAATATAATAATAGTTGTAACTTAATTTCAGTTGTATCCTGTGCAGTATTATTTTCTTTGCTGATATTCACACACCATTACCTGTTTTATAAACCACCTGGTTACATATGTCCATATTTTAGAGGAGGCCTTGGCAACTTAATGTTCATATATTCATCCGTTTACGGGATTGCAAAAAGCAAGGGTATGGTGTTGGTTGTAGACACTGATGATCATATTAAGACAGTATTTCCAAATTTACATGCTTTATCTATTAACTCAGCGTTTGAGTTTTGTAACAGTTCAAGGTTAGTCTATGAAAAAAGAGCATGCGCATATGACATTGAAACCGTGCAGTTTGATAACAGGAAAAATACAACATTAAAAGCATATCTACAATCCTGGAAGTATTTCAAAGAGGTTGAAAAGGAAATAAGAAGGCAATTTGTTTTTAAACAAGAAGTGCAGGATAAAGCTCAAGCTATTATCAATAACTATACTAACGAATATATCCAACACAGCAATGTTTCAAATAATTTGCAAATTATAGGCGTACATATTCGCCGAGGAGATTATCTTAAACCTGGAAAAATTGCATTTGGTTATAAAGTGGCTACTAAATCGTATTTGTATAAAGCATTTCAGTTATTCCGATCGAAATTTAAAAATTGTTTATTTCTTGTTTTTACGGCACCGAACAAAGTAGATATAAACTGGAGAAATAATCACATTCACGGAAGTGACGTCATGAACGTAGATGCTCATGAACGTGATGTCGACATGTGTGCTTTGTCAAAGTGTAATCATACAATCATAACGGTTGGTTCATTTGGATGGTGGTCGGCCTGGTTAAATCAAGGAATTACTATTTATTACAATGATGTAGTGAAACCAAACACTGATCTTAGCACAGATTTCAGTGAAGATATGAACGATTTTTTTCCGTCAAATTGGATTGGAATGCAATGATTTAGCAATAAAACTATTTATGTTTTGGATAATCAAAATTTTTACATTGACTGTTGTTATCTTTTTTACGAAGGTTTATTTTATAAATAAATGATATCAAATATCACATGTATCAGGTATTCGCTCAGGAGAAAGATTTGTAGAAAGACACTGCCCAGTTGGTAATGTAACATGTAAACAACAAAAATATTCTCAAATTAATAATATTAAAAACCATCTGTTGTAACACATAGTTTTGCAATTATTTTTCTAATATTAATTTTTTGAATATTTGATGAGACTAAACTTTAACTTAACCAATATATTAAATTTATTCATTACATTTTCATTTTTGGGGAACCTCTCCATGTTGTTTAAGAGTTTTTTATTACATATACATCACTTTGGTATTTTAACTTTTGTTATGAAGTAAAATAACAAAAATATCGAACTCCGAGTAAAATTCTGAACGGAAAGTCCCTAAGCAAATGGCAAAATCAAAAGCTCAAACACATCAAACGAATATATAACAACTGTCATATTCCTGACTTGGTACAGGCATTATCTTATGTTGAAAATAGTGGATAAAACCTGGTTTTATAGCTAGCTAAACCTCTCGCTTGTATGACAGTTGCATAAAATTGAATTATATTGACAACGATGTGTGAACAAAACAAATAAGCATATCATATCTAAACTTTAGAGGAAGCATATTGATTCGTTTACGAAAGATTAATTTCTGCAGTTTGTGATACTTTCTATTGCCCATTTTTAGCTCACCTGACCCAAAGGACCAAGTGAGCTTTTCTCATCACTTGGCGTCCGTCGTCCGTCGTTAACTTTTACAAAAATTATCTCCTCTGAAACTACTTGGCAAAGTTAACCAAACTCGGACACAATCATCATTGGGGTATTGTGTCCGATGACCCGGCTCGGCAACCAAGATGGCCGCCATGGCTAAAAATAGAACATAGGGGTAACATGAAGATTTTGGCTTATATCTCTGAAACCAAAGCATTTAGAGCAAATCTGACATGGGATAAGAATGATCATCAGGTCAAGATCTATCTGTCCTGAAATTATCAGACAAATCAGACAACCCGTTGTTGGGTTGCTGCCCCTGAATTGGTAAGTTTAAGAAAATTTAGCATTTTTTGGTTTTTATCTTGAAAATTATTAAAGATAGAGATAAACTGTTAACAGCAATAATGTTCAGCAAAGAAAGATCTACAAATAAGTCAAACATGATCAAAGTGTTCAATTGACCCCTTAAGGAGTTATTGCCCCTCATAGTAAATTTTTAACAATTTTTTGTAAATTGTTGTTATCTTTTACAAAAATCTTCTCCTACTGAGACAAATTTAACCAAACTTGGCCACAATCATCACTAGAATATCTATTTTAAAAAACGTGTACGATCATCCCGCCTACCAACCAACATGGCCGACATGGCTAAACATAGAACATAGGGGTAAAATGCAGATTTTGGCTTAAATCTCTGACGCTAAAGCATTTTGGGCAAATCTGACAGTAGTAAAAATGTTCATCAGGTTAAGATCTTTATGCCCTGAAATTTACAGACAAATCAGACAACCCATAGTTGGGTTGCTGCCCCTTAATTGGTAATTTTCAGGACATTTTACAGTTTTTGGTTTTTATCTTGAATATTATTATAGATAGGGATAAACTGTTAAGAGCAATAATGTTCAGCATAGTAAGATCTACAAATAAGTCAAACATGACCAAAATGGTCAATTGACCTCTTAAGGAGTTGTTGCTATTTAAAGTCAATTTTTTACAATTTTTTTTACAATTTTTCTAATTTTTTACATAAATATTCTCCTCTGAAACTACTGAGACAAATTTAAGAAAACTTGGCCATAATCAACATAAGGGTATCTAGTTTAAAAAATGTGTCCGATGACCCCGCCTACCAACCAACATGGCCGACATGGCTACGAATAGAACATAGGGGTAAAATGCAAGTTTTGTCTATTATTTTTTGAACCGTTATAAATACAGAAAATCTGAAAGGAGCAAAAATGTTCAGAAAAATGAGCTCTACCAATTGTTTATATTCGTCAAAACTGTTATACAATTTCTTATAGGAGTTATTTCCCATAAATGACAAATTTTATCAATTTTCTTTTTCATTTTTGCCTATTATCATTAAAACTATGATATTTAGAGAGAAACATTTTTTTTCGTTATGCCTGATATGATTTAAATTATAAATGATAAATAGGCACTTTAAATCACAAAAAATGATCAGCAAGGCAAGATCTATTTAAAGGTCAAATTTTGCCGATATAGTTAGTAGATTGTCACTCTTCATAGAAGTGATTGCCCTTAAATGAGGATTTGTTTACTCTCTTTTGTGTTTTGAGCAAAAACTAAAGAAGACAGAGAGAAACTAAACAGACTAAAAGATCAGTAATACAAGATCATCAAAATAAAGATTTTTGTCATGAAGTCTATTCTCGATTACAATATTGGAGAGTGTCCTTTGTTAGATATGCACATAGACCAAGGTGAGCGACACAGGCTCTTTAGATCCTCTAGTTAAACAAGATTCACTAGTAGTGGTGAAATAGACAAACAGTAACTTTTTGCATTAAACAGGAGTGGACGAACAATATTACCTTTTTTCAATACAAAAATAATAACTGAAATATGAATACTTCAAAATAATAAAACAAGTTTAACGGCATCAAACACTTGTTCTGACGATGTACCAACTAAAACATCAAAAGGAAAACAGTCAATACCATGGATAAATAATAACATCAAGGCCATGTTTAAGCGAAAGAACAGAACACACGCCAACTATAAAAAAAAACAACAGCATGAGAATAAAACGAAAATGGCATGACGCACAATTAACAAGCAAATTTAAGCAGCCAACAACAACTACGACAACAACTTAATAGGCGATATAAGACAGGATTTATACCATTTTAGAATTATATGAACAACTAGAAGGCAGATACCGGTACAGACCAACAGAAAGCCTAGACATTGCATACACAGTTTACAAGCGCGTATCCCAAGACAGAATATGAATCTATTCCATACCAAACTCCATTTGTAGACAAAATGAGGAACATCACAGTAACAACCATAACAGTGGAGAAGATACTTAAAACGCAAATGCGTCGAAAGCGATTGGTCCTGATGGTATTCACTCCAGAGTACATAAAGAATTTGTACATAACATATTAAAGGTAATGGCTCCCTTTTTCCAACAACCAATCAACAGAGGAACCGTCCCAGAGGAATTTAAAAGTGCTAATATATGCCCATTATTCACGAAGAACTGCTGAACAATCCCGAGTAATTACAGACCAGTATATCTAACATGTATCACTTGCAAACTACTAGAACATGCTAGTCATTTGCTCGAACCTAATGCAGCACGTTGAATATCACAACATCCTAAATAGCCGACAACATGTGTTTAGAAGAAGACACAGATGTGCAACTCAACTCATTAACTTGCTACACGACTGAGCAACTGCCATTGACAACAGGTAACAAACTGATATATTTATTTTTGATTTTTAAAAAAACATTTGACACTGTACCGCACGAGCTACTAAAAAGTAGACTTCACAAATATGGTGTACCGAAAAACATCTTGAATTAGATTAACGTCTCCCTATCTACAAGATCTCAGTACGTGGTAGTAAATGGGGTTAGGTCCGAAACATCAACTGTACTATCAGGAGTACCTCAAGGAACGGTTCTCGGTTCCATCCTATGTATAGTCCATATGAACGACACAGCAGAAAATGTAACATCGGAAGTAAGGCTGTTAGAAGACGACTGTATGCTACAGAGAAATAAAAAATGAAGATGACTGTGCAGAACTACAGAAAGATGTAGATATTCTTGTTAACTTGGCGACTAATTGGGGTATGAGATTCCAACCAATTAAATGCAACATGATGACATTGAGTCGCAAGAAGAAAACATCATCATTTCAATACACTCTCAAAGATACCAAACCCCAGTTTTTAATATCTATTAAATATCTAGGAGTAAACATCACAAATGAACTTCACAGGGGAAAGCACATAGAGGAGATATGCAACAAATCTTGTAGGACATTAGGATTACTAAATACAAACCTCTCTCCAAGTCAACTTGCAGTTAAACTCCAGGCATTAAAAGGACTGAAACGACCTGTCCTAGAATATGCGAGCACTGCCTGTGATCAACATCAAGAATATCTTCAAGACCAGCTGGCAAATGTACATGTTCATAACATCAAACTACAACTACGAACCAGGAAGTATGACAGCAATTTCAGACCAGCTGCAATTACCATCCCTAAAAGATAGACGAACACAAAACAGACTCATCTTCTTCTGCAAAGTTATACACGGTCAAGCAAACTTACCATCTGACCAACTGAAAAAAATACATCAAGTACAACCAATAACATGCATAGCCAACATTTCCTGAGACTTCAAACAAAATCAGACACATTAAAATTCAGTTTCATCCAAACACTATGAAGATTTGAACCAACTACCACCCGATATTTTCGCATTCAGACAGAAAAAGAACCAGCTGAAACTTTCAGTGAAATTGTTAGGGGTCCCACTTAAATTGATTACTTGACGCACGCGCAGTGAATTATTATCCTTGGATGTATCATCCTAAACCTATCGAGATCACCCCCAATTTTTGCCGGGGTTAGTGTTGTTCAGATTTTCGTTTTCTATGTTGTGTTTTGTATACTGGTGTTTGTCTTTTGATCTTTTTCTTTTTTTTTTGCCACGTCGTTGTCAGTTTATTTTCGATTTATGAGTTTGAATGCCCCTTTGGTATCTTTCGCCTCTCTTTTAATTCACTTACATTTTACAAAAATGTAACCATAGCTTTTGACGCTTTGTGAAGGCTGTTTGTCACAACACAACAGTCATATTATGTATTTGCTTTTGTAGATATACAAGAAACCATATGAATTATGTTTCATATCTGTATCCAGTAAAATAATGTTCAACTACACATGT